TGAATTGGCTTGTGTGATTAACTGCATATCGTATTACTAGGGCAAATGCTTTCTCGTAATGAAACATACATAAATAGGTAATAGCCTCTGCTTTTGCACTGTTTATGCTAAACACTATACTATTTATGCTGGAAAGCATAGAATGATTGCTCATTTTGTCTCCCTCCACTTTCAAAGAGTTACTCCACTAATTGTTCATTGCAATTCTTAGGTTCGTATGAGGTTTATCATTCCTCATTTCATCATGGAGCCAGATACATTAAATATACCTCTTCCACTCCATTGTTTATTAAAAGCTGCTATTTTCCTGAAAGAATTTTTAAACAAACTATATACATTTATAGCAATATAAGAGTCCTGGAATGGAAAGAACACAACAAAACAGATAGTTAACTGCAGACTTCTTTTTCACAAAATGTATTAAAATTATAACCTTTGTATCAGCCTAAGGACAGAGAGAGAAATCACTGAATGTTGTTAAATAAAAAGATACCATATCTGGGTCAAAAAGTCCCTGGGCTGCAAATTATTGAAGACTGAGAGAACATTTTGGAGAGGTATTGCTACATGTTTGCACTACTCATATTCTCACTTGACCATTTGCTTTTGGTCTGTGTTAAAAGTAAAAAGAGGTAAGATGAGCATTTGGTCTAGAGATTAAGTTGTTCTTAATAGTGTAACTCTACAGTGTCAAGGAACACTTCTATTTAACAACCTGCGACAAGTTCCTATGTATTTATTATTTATCCAACCGTATTTACATTCACTACAACATTACCATTTTCCAGTAAAACTGACCTGCTTCTGGGTGTTCTACTGTTGCTTCAGGAGTCCAAGGCCCAGCTTTTACGTATCCTCTCTTTTCAAGAGCAAAGACAAATCCTCCATCTCCAATCACAATTTCTCCAGCATCTAAGCGCTCTAGAATACCCTGAAAAAGGCAGGATGAAAAGTTAACAATTACAGTTCTTCAGTTTTGTGAGCTCCTTTGTCTCTGTTGCCCTTTTCTGTATTGGCAAAGCAGACAAATATTGGTGAGCTACTAGAAATATCTTTGCCATAATAATAGAAGTAATCAATTTCCTTATTGAATTTCTCTTTAAAGAATGGTAGATGGTGTGTTTGCAACATAAGGCTTTAAGATGTGCATATATATTACGTAAGACTTTTCATTAGTCAGTTTTATTGTAGTCCTCAGAAGTCAGTGGTCCAATTCCATTCCAATGAAAGTCAAAGACCATCTTAAATTCTCATGTAAAATATATCAAACTTTTTAAAATGAAACACTAGTATCACTGACCTCTTTATTAGCTTAATTGTTCTTTAGCTATGAACGCCATTTTGCCAGAGCCTCAGCTCTGACACAAGATGGCACAACAGCCATCACGTAACATGTTCCTACCAAATAAGACCCATCTAAAAATGCTGGCCTCCATTTTCTGACAGAATTTTTACTTGCCTGGGTTTGATTACCTACACTTGAAAAGTGAAAGGAAATCCTGCTTATTTTACACAGCCCTTAAATGTTTTAAGATGCCAACTTACAAACCTTAAAACACTCTGTGATTGATCTTGCTTCTACCTTGAACTCGATGTTCATGCAAAGGAAGTGGTAATTATTTTTTTGGTAAAATTGAAAAACATGACCACAACATATATTGGTGGCACCTCATATGTATATTTTTTTATATTCCTTTCATTGTTTCATTGGATTGTTTAAATTTTCCAAAAAGTACCTTGCTGTTACGCTAAGTAGTACTAATTTCTGCAATTGCATTACAGTCATAATCCTATTTACTTTAAAAAGTGGATGAATGCAGACTCATTACATTAACAAAGATAGCGGGTATAGAAAAGAATCCAAGGTAAGACTAAAATTTCTCCCCATATTTATCTTTTCTTGATGGTACACTAACATTTCAGTAGCTGTAATCTGAGAGACTAAGAAGAAATCTCTGCCTTGCAGACAGAGAGTGTGGTTTTCATGCTGAGAGGTAATTGTCAAAAATTAGCCTCCAACCTTTAGATAATTTCTCTTTCATTGATTCAATTACTTCACACCATACATCCAGGAAAGTCAAACACTTATGATATCTCAGCACCACCCTTTATGCAGAATGAGTGTATGCCTTTCCAACAAGAAGGAGCACTGTGCTGACTATACCAGTTCCAGTACTAAGCACAGCAGTGTAGGGCTACCTGGATGCTACAAAACCTGTGTGAGAGTGTTGGCCTTTTTGGCTCAGGCACTGACACGGCAGCCAGGTAACAGGACTTCTCCGTACCGTGCTGTTGTGCAGATACATGAGCATGGCCAAGTGCTGGTTTGTGAGTCTCTGCACTGCACATTGTGGACTTGCCAAAATATTGACCTGATTAACCTTAACTTTAATAGCGTGTGCAAGCTTTTTTCTTTATTTCAGCAGGCCTAGGGAAAAGCTCAATCTGTAATACTGAGTCTCCAAAATTCAGTAATATTCAATGAGTCTACCAGTCATGCCTGTCTACTATGTCAGTTTTCTTCCAAGTGTAAATGTCAAGAGGCTCTGTAAAGATTTTTTGTGTTTGCAGTTAACTGATTTGTGGTTGTAACATAATGTCTCAAATGGGGCCAGAGGAAGGCACCCAAGGGATCACTGGTCGAGTCCCTGCTTCCTTTGCCTGCCAAGGAATCTTTTACAGATGGAGCCTTCTTTGGAAGCTTAATATGCAGAGGAGTATGGAAGAAAAAAAAACCTTTAACATATAAGCAGCCTTAGTCATTGCTTGTTAACTGAACATTAAGTAATAGATACATGTTGACATCATATATAGATATTACACTTCAATGCACTATATCTAACAGATTTTTTTCTAACAATTCACTTCTAGGATTTAACAGCAGTATTTCCTTCACAGTTCTAGCTTCTTTAAACCATAATTTAAAATAATCTTCACTTTTAACACACAGAAGCAATGTAAGCAATGACTGAATAGACCATGGCATCTTAATACATACAGTATATTGTGATACATTAAATCTAGCATTGGGGTATTTAAATAGCAGGTTACATAAGCACAAAGTACTTAAAATGGAAATAACTTCTCTGCAAACTTTATTATAGGACTGATAACATCTCTTCACACCATTTTTACTTTATCTGTACTGGGTAAAATACCATTGCTTGAACAAGCATATAGCTAGCTTAAGTTCAGAATCAACATTGTTTTGTTCTGCCCTGGAGACCTACAGCTCATGTGTGCTCATGCTCAATCCAGATCAAAATTGTACTGCCAGGTGACCCGATAGTACACCAGAGACATCGTTTCACTGCTTTCCTTTTGCTACCATGAATGAAGTTGCGCCTCATAACCCATAAACCTATCCATGGAAATTTTTTATCTGTATGAAGATATTCCCTTAACGACCTTTAGGAGTATAACTGAACCATGAGTGAAAAGCCTGCTTGGTCTACTTATATCCTACCTTTCCACCAGTGGAGAGTAGAAAGCATTTCAAAACAAATATTCAGATCTTAAGTGAGCCCTCAGGAGAGGCTTATCTCCATCTGTTGCCTATGAGGAACTTATGGCAATGGCCTTCTGCTAGGTGTCTGAAGTTAGGTGGCATGAGTATGTATCAAAAAATAAAAAGCAGAACAAATACAACCCCACCTCCTTATAACTAATCTACTTGAAAGGCCTAGAGCTCATAGACTTCTTCCCATATCCTTGTCATCCTACTTTAGACTTATAAACTACACAGAAAAATGAGTAAAACCAGTTCTGAGTAATAAGTGTTTTATAATAGTGTTGTTCTGAAGACAGATTATGTGATTCCTCTGACTTTCCCAAGCAGCAGTGCAGAGTAGCAGTACTGTTAAGTGACAGAGTTTGATTTAGACATTGCGCATACGTTTGCCTTAATGGCCAGAATGGCAGAAGCCTGTGTAACTTTTTATACTGGCCTATTTCTATAGCTAGCTGTGCTCATATTACAAACACTGTTGGTATTCAGTCATATAAATTAAGGGAACAGCAATCTGGGGTTTTTGCACAGAGCTGGCAGAATGCAGGAGAAAGAAATCCTATCCAGTGACCTTTTATGCTTGTATTTACATTTTTAGTGTTGGAAGCACTGCTTAGTTTGCATATCAAATAATACTAAGCAAAATAGTTTTGAACTTTGCTCATATTACAAACACTGTTGGTATTCAGTCATATAAATTAAGGGAACAGCAATCTGGGGTTTTTGCACAGAGCTGGCAGAATGCAGGAGAAAGAAATCCTATCCAGTGACCTTTTATGCTTGTATTTACATTTTTAGTGTTGGAAGCACTGCTTAGTTTGCATATCAAATAATACTAAGCAAAATAGTTTTGAACTTTGGTGGCTCCAGGCTATGTGTTAAAATAAACCAAAATTGTGGGCTGTTACAACATTAAATTCAGTCTAATGCATCTATCTCATAACAGTGTCCAGATGCTTTTAATGACTCGATACTGAACAGGTAGTTATTATTACGGCTTTACTTTACTTACCTGCAGAAATACTGAATACCTTACTAGCAGCTTAAGAAGCACGGCTCGCAGGTTGTGCCAGTTTAGCAGCAGCCCCCCAAGAGAATTTCCAGGCAGGACTCCGAGGCGGCAGGAGAGGCCGCTGGTCGCCACGGCCCGCCCCAGCATCCAGCTCTGTCC